TCTGTGATGGAGCTCTTAATTTCAGCATCTTAACCAACTCTTTTTCAACGTCCTCCTCCCATGAACGAAGTGGGCGTTTCCAGGAGAATTTCCATTGCCAGCAATCCTTCGACCAGGATCCCATGTCTTTAACACTGCAATTCTGATCTGTAGCTAGTAGGAATAAACGAGGGAATTTGTTAGATAGAGCATACCCTTCTACCCACACATCAGTCCAGAACTTAACCCTCTCGCCATCCCCCAAATCCACACCAAAACCCAAACTCAGCCAATCCTTTTTAATACCCATCCCTTCATCTATCTTGCAAACATCCCTCCACCATTTGATCCTACACATCTACCCTCCCTTAAGTAAGATAACCAATTCCCCTCATCACTCCCATAGATGTCAGATAAAACTCTCCTCCACAATCCCCCCTTTCTCAGTAATCAATCTTCCCCACCATTTTCCCAGTAATGACATATTAAAGCACAGAAAAATTAAGCTTTGAAGCCCCATGTGACCGTTAGTGAGTATAGTGCGGATGATTTCAAATCCATGTATGTTTGGAAACCTTGCAAATTATGGGCATATGGATGCACTAACGTGTCCATGTATGTATGCATGTCTTCCTTCTGTAGATCTCTCAGTGTTTTTCTTAAAATGATTCTCTAAAAGATAAAAAGGTTTATGCTCGAAGGACCAAACGATATTCTATGACTTTTAGTATTACATCTGCTTAATGACAAACAAATCATTTGTACTAGGATTGAAAATTTTGCCCAGAACCACCTCGAGATCATAATCTCAGTCAAAAATCAAATTTTAGTCAACAAGATGATAACAAAGTCTCTTACTGACCAGGGCAGCTCTATTTGGATTTGCTTGGTTAGTAATTGAACAAATAAGTGTGTTTGGAATATAAACAACTGTTAGTGATTACATATTTACTATTAGTTATTTAAACAATCAACCCTAAGAGAGTGTAAGAGGGATTCTATTGGGTACTTTCCAGTTACCCTGAACCATCATTCTATATTCTAAGTTCAGTTTCATGCCCTTTGGCTTGGTGCGGCAATCCTGTGACCAGAAGGAAAACTGGTAAAAGAGACCTCTGGTACTGATTTGGGCAGGAAGAAGATGAAAGAAACACGGTGTCGGGGTGCATTTAAAGGTGTTGTGGTAGTGACTAAAATTTATGGATTTATGTGTGTTCTGAGTAGTATCTCCTTCGGATTCCCACAGCAGGAGTGCTTCTTCATTGATCTACAAAGAGTTGAATTTCACCTCAAAACATTTTTCACTTTCACGAGCCCTATTTCACATGTTTTCCTGCCATCCATGACCTGATTGCCGGGACTCTTTGACCTTTTTGCCATGCCCATCTCTCTCTCCAGGTAAATTATAACATTTCTCAGAATGGGAGCTGCCTAAGATCTCAAAATCATATCACATGCTGAATTGAGAGTTCTCATGCTCACATACGTGATGATGATAATGCCATGTTATATGCACGTTATAGATTTACCCGCTCTCCAGGTGATATGATTCGGGCACTTCTATAAATGAACATTTAACGTCGATCAACTTAAAAAAGGTGACAAAAATTGCAAAATCTGAGATCAATCCCATTTTCCTGGTTCAGTTTTGGCTTTTCTTTTTATTATGTTGGTAATATTGCATCAATTATCAAGTCAGCATATACAAAAAATATGATTCGTACATAATGTTTTCTTATCACCAAATCTTACAATCTTATGTAACAATAATTAGAATTTGCTCTCTTTTTACTCAATGAGAAGAAACGTACATGAATCCAAGATGTCATATGTCTATTATTGTAAGAAAACATTGTTTGCCAAAAACTCTATAAACCGTGTACACGAGAAACCAGTGACCAAAAACTAAAAACATAACCGGAAATAGGTAGTTTGATGAACACAGAAAGCTCATTGCTGATTATATATTTTTTTGACTGAAGATTGCTGATTATATATACAATATTTTTTATATATATCAAAAACGTTGGCTTTCACCTGTGTTTAGGATGAGATTTGATTCCTGGTGCTTTAATGCAATCATCAAAAGGACTTTACCAACTTAACTAATTGACATCTTCAACCTCTCCCAGTTGTTTGGACAATGCCCCCACCTGCAAAATATACCACCTCTCCCCTCAGAAAATGAGCTTCTAGAGGCAAACCAAAACAAGAAAATGGAACTTGATCAGCAAACTAACCAGTATGAGAACATTTCATTTGGGCTTCGGGCTTCCCTTACACATGTTTCTCCATTTATCCTTCAGGTCCAATGAAGTTCGGCAGTTAAGAAACGCTGAAGAACCAAGGTCCAGAATTTCCTTCCATGGAATGTTACCACCAGCTGTACTTGGGAACTTGC